CGTCGAAGTAATAACGACATTCGCATAACGTACCTTGAGCCTTCTTAGTATCAGCAGGAACCGCCTTTGCGGAAGATTGCGGAAATTTCGTATTTTTTTCCATGTCTGGCACGAATGCGTCCGTGCTGACTTCCAGAGTTGTTGAGGCTACGGTTTCCTCCGTATGGAGAAACAATGTATTTCTGCAGGCCCTTCATCTTCAATAAGCCATGTTTCGATATCGTCAAAAGTGAAGAAAAAATCCTCGAGACGCCGATAATTGACGGCCGATTTAACGGTATTAGGATGATGAAAAACACAGGTGTAACAGAGCAAAAGCTCTGTATCGCTTTCTCGTCGCAAACGACGATTATCCTAATTCCTGGCTCTACGGCCAAAGGCGGTCGCGATCTCGTCGCTATGATGGCGACGAAACTAGTGACTTGCGCAAGCGGATGTAATACGCGATACGTATTAAGTACTTGAACAATTCGTCATCTCGAATAAGCAATGTCGTTAGTATGAATTCTGATTTGTTTATAGATACACTAGTAACTGAAATAACATAAATTATTTAACTATTGCTATGAACAATTTGATGCATACGGAGATAAGTTTCATGTACATTTGAATTTCAAATTTTGAAATTGTTTTAATCTTTACTAACTAACAATAAGCGTTATCATATCTCGTTTATAAGTGACACTTTAAGATTGAAATATTTAACTACAGAATTAAATTTCTTTGACATGATATCAGTATTATGTTTAGCAGAATAGAATATATATAGTATAGTATAGAATATATATAATTTAATGTAGTATATAATTAATTACACCTCATCTCAAATGGGAATATTAGCTTCCAGTAAAAGGATAGAATAAATATGACATCACACGGGACTTCATACGTCACATCTTGAAATACAGAAAAAAAAAAAATGTAGTACTTTAAAAAAATCGGAGTGTTTCTTATCCGATTTATTGGATCTGTGCCTTACGTGTCGAACAATCAAAACGCACATGGTCATATTTCAAATGCTACAAATTTATTATACTGTACAGTTAGTTGAATGATTGCATTTATTAATTATGCATGTGATTAATGCACGCGTTGTATGTGAATATTTTTTCGTTGTTTTTTATTTAAATTAAATTCATATTTTGATATTTTGACATAACCTAAAATATGGTTCGGTTTAAAATAGGTAGATTCTTCGGTATTTTTTGTTATAAATCATTATTATGATATTATTTATTCATTTACTTTTATTATATATTTCGTTATTAATTTTACGTATATTCATAGGTATACAATATTTGAAATAACTCTCGGTGATAAGTACACCTAAACCTCTGCAATTAAAAGTTACAGCTTTGCACAATGCTGTTCAACAGAAAATGCAACAATTGTACGGCGATTTTGGAGTTGCAGCGATAAAAGCTGGATTTAGTGGTAATATAAAATTTCAGTCTTGTAGCAGAAAAATTAAACTTGAAATAAATGTATATCTGATAATTTTTTTTTTTCAGCAAAATATTGCAATGTATATACAAAAATTGCATTAATAAAAAAGTAGACATGGTCCCCACAAATTTTTATTAAATGACATTCCAATTATAAATGATATTGCAGGACATTTAGTGTCAGTGAAAATACTTTATGTCGGTGTAATGCTAAAACATTTTTTTCTTTTTATTAAAGTAAGTAGAACTGTCAAATTATCTAAATACATCCACATTACATGTCGCATTAATCAAAATTAAATGTATGTTTTTCAGAAACCAACAACAAAAACTTAAACAAGAACATCCTTAAGACTGAAATTGAACGAAAAAAGTGACTCTGACACCAGCCATGAAAGACTGTATAAAACGTATATTTTTGCAAAGTATATAATGTAACATAATGTAATGTAAATATAAATTATATAAATTTGATAAATGAATTTCTTGAATATATTTTATTCCAAATACTATGTACATAATAATATTATTAAATAGTATGATTCTAATTTTGTAGTAGATCTTTGTAGCAGATTGTACTTTCATCTGTTTCTAAATTATATAAATTATATAAATTTAACAAATGAATTTTTTGAATATATTTTATTCTAATGAACCAGTACTTTTAATGTTTTCTTTTAACTAATCTTTTAAAGTATTAACAATTAACATACAAATATGCCTACCAGGTATAATTGTATGTTAATTGTCAATACTTTAAAAGATTAGTTAAAAGAAAACATTAAATTTGAATTATATTTTTTTTGGTTTAATCTTGCTGTGATGATGAGTAATGAGAAGACGTATTTTTGAACCATTATGCTTTTTATTTTCGAAAAGGAAAAGCAACACACAAATGACAAAAAAGATTTGCGACGTTCATGGTAATGATGTAAATATAATGGTGGAGAGGTACAAAGTTTCGTAATGAAAATTTCAAGTCTGTGCTAATAGCATTGAATAAGAATAGATTAGATTCACGTCTCGTTTATTTGCCAAAAAATTATTAGATTTTAACTTAAAATTCGGTTAAGACTTAAAAAGTAAAATTACACACACAATTTTTTACATTTTACAGGTATAAAATTTGTAAAAATTTATGTAATGTATTTTCGTTCAAAATGCGCGCGCGATAATTAGTAAAGATTACAGCGCCAATGAAGCGGGAAAATTTCGCAATTAAATATGGCGATTCTCGAACGTAATCGATCTAAAATCGATCTGATATTGGAATGTAATATCAACTTTTAGCGGAAACATGATAGGAAACGTAGCAAGAAATTGCTCATCCATAAATTGTCAAATAAAGACTACCGGTAAGACTTGTTTTCGAATTATTGAGTATATCTACAATTTAAAACAATGAGCATTATTTAAAAGAGTTATTATATGTATATTCAATCATGACTATGATTCGTTTCAGATATTTCCCTTCGGATTTAACGGTTTTTGTTTAATGATATTTGCAATGATTTCCTTTGGATCACAATTATATACGTCCTCGCATTTGATTGTAAGTTGCATGTATCTTTTATCTTTTTAATTCTGACACTTAAATAATATTAATACTTAAATTATAACGAATAAGAGTAGAAATAAATCTAAGAGTTTTAAAAGTGAATCGAGCTGTGCTAAATCTAAAAATGGCATATCTGAAACTTTTGCTTAAATTAAGCTATCAGTGCTATCAGGTAGCACAAAAATAGTTTATTTATATGTATATTATAAGAAAATCTTAACTGTATTGAAACTGAAGATGTAATAGTTTATATTTCTATATACTATATACTAATACTAAAGATCTTTTCTCTAAAGTCGTTTCTCAAATTATGCCTTAATATTTGAATTAATATGATAGTATACAGGAATGCATTAAAATTAAAAACATTAAATATAATAGTAATATAATAGTTGAGAACAGATGAGATGTATGAGATATCACATATCTTGTCTATGATAATAACAAGTTTCGTGCAAAGTCACAAATAAGATGCAGAATAAATATGACATCTTATGGAAGTTCGTGTCACACATCCTGAATTACCGACATGGTAAAGAAATCATTGGTTTTTTAGCGCACTCTATATTCAAAGAACGGCGATTCGGAGAATTACCATTGACTAATTACAAATAAACGTGAAATTGGTAAAAAATGAAATCATTCTAGACTATACGTATTAGAAAGAGCTCTATCTTATTTTACAGATTCACGATAGGTTTTTGCACGTAGTATATTAAAATTTTTAAGTTATTAACACTAAACGTACCGGCATTTTACATATACCTATCTTACCATAAGAGGATCAAATGACCCCTCGCGGTACATAAGGTATGGCAAAAATTTTTCTCGATAAAAAATAAGCTAAGAGAAAAACAGAAAACGAGAAACTGAATAATATAAGAATTTACAAGAAGTCAGATTAGCGAAAGAAATCAGATAATATAAGAATTTACAAGAAGTCAGATTAGCGAAAGGAATAACAACAAATGTACGATTTTAAAGTAAATTTTGAAAAGGGATCATTCGACCCCGCTTGGTACGTTTAGTGTTAATACATGATTTTTAATACAAACGATTTATATCTCATGAAACATTCTTAAAAACAA